CGAGCAGCTTCGTGCTGGAGACGTGGAGAAGGTTCGTTCGTTGGAGGAGCTGAACAACCTTGAGCGTGCGATGAAATGTCGTCTCATGGACAAGGAGGAAGAGCTTGAGGAGTTGCGGAAAGCACATGAGGATGTTAAGGTTCGTGCCCTGAATGATGTGAATGAGCTGAATGACCGGGCGGAGCACATGAACCGGCATCTGGAGGAGCTGCGTGAAGAGAACGAGCAGTTGCGTGCCAGTAATGAGCAGCTGCGTGCTGGGGACGTGGAGAAGGTTCGTTCGTTGGAGGAGCTGAATGACCGGGCGGAGGAGATGAACCGGCAGCTGGAGGAGCTGCGTGCTGAAAATGAGCAGCTGCGTGCTCAGCTGGTTATTGATCGTTCCGTAGGTTTGGGTGAAATTGTTTTGACGAAGCACCGTTGCTTGTTGAGTGGTCTTGGCTTAGGTGAGTTGTTTGTGGTTAATGCGGAGGGTTTACGGAGTGCTGTTTTGCAGGATGTGGCGCGGGCCACTTGTGTTTCACTCAAGGATGTTAATGTTGTGGAGTTTGGTGCGAATGCTTCTTTTTGTGAGGTGGAAGTCGCTCATGAAGCTCTTGTTTCGGGCGAGGAGATTGCTCGGCGGTTGAGAGAATGTCCTTTTTTAGCGGTGAGGCGTCTTCTTGACTTAGCTGTGGTGCCAGAGGATGCACGAGACAGAGGGGGTGCTACAGCGGAGGTGTTGAGGGTACTTGATGATTTTGGAGTTGACTCACTGTTGAGTCTTGTAGTTGAAGAATCCATGTCCCGTTTGGTGCTTGAGCTGACGACGATGTCGTTTCGGTTTGAGAGGGCTTTGGAGGGCATTCGGTTTGTTTGTGCTTCCCATCAGCGGCGTGAGCTTGATTTGCTGGAGGAGCTGGATGAGCGGGCTACAGAGTACACAGATATGCTGGAGAAGACGGAGGAGATGATGCAGCTGTTGGAGGATGCGCGACAGGCAGAGTGCAGTGCTCGGAATGCTCTATTCAAGCGTGAAGAGGCGCTGTTGGAGTTGGAACGACGCCGGGATATTGAAGTGCGTGACCTCGAAAATATGACGCACGCCCACCGCAATCTGCTCCAGACGATGCGGCAGTCGCAGGGACTGCTGGCCACCAATAACATGGCAGGCTTGTTAAGCGAGGCCGACTGTGTGCCGGACCTTCAACGACAGGCCGCACTCCTAGAGCAGGAGAACGGCGCACTGCGACAGGAGATGGCGCGGCGTGCGGTGGCGCATCGAGAAGCGATGGAGGTTCTGAACAACAAGGTTGTCACCCTCATGGAGGAGCTCGAGGTGAAGGGAGTGGAGTATACTGAAACACTTGCAAAGCTTGAGGAGTTTGTTGGCTTGCTGGAGGCATCACGTGCCGCTGAGAAGGCGGCGTTGATGGCGTTGGAGAGGCGGGAACAGGAACTGTTTGAGTTGCAGGCTGCACATGATGAGGAAATGAGGGAACTGGAAGGCGCCATGAAGCAGCTCAATGTACTTTCCCCGCCGCAGCAGGAGAGCCGTGAAGAAGCCCGTGCGGCGGAAGCGCCACCAGACACCGCCCGGGAGAGCGGTAACGCAAATGTTGTACGTTCGATGCGACAGCAGCTGGAGCGGCTGAAGCGTGAGAAGGAGGCCCTTGCCATGGAGCTTGAAGTGAAGGGACGACAGCACGACGACGCGATGGATGTGCTCAACCGAAATATTGGCGAGTTAATGGGCGAGCTTGACTCCCGCATACGTGGGTGTCAGGTGTCGGCGACGAGCGCGAAGGAACTACTGCGCGATATTGCCCTGCTGCGCTCCGCCGAGGAGGAAGATGAGGAGTACAATGAGGGTGATTAAGCCAGATTTGCCCCAGCCACTTGTAGGCGCCGCATTACCGCAACGCTGGTGTAGGACTGGCGAAACCAGAATTTTGTTTGAGTGTGAAGGTTAGACCAATGTATGTAATGTATGCAGGTATGTAAGTATGTATGCAGAGATGAAGCATTAGCCTTTGCCCGACCCTCCCCCCCCCCCCTACACACACATGCAGAGAGGCTCCTGGATCACTGCAAAGGGAGATAATATGCAGGAGGCATGACGATGGAAAACAGGAGTTGAAAGGCGGAAATAATTGTGACAGATTGGTTTGATCTCAAGGCGTGTTTAAGTGTGGACTATTTCCTTCGATGTATGCATTTTGTAACGTAAACGTAGGGATGGTCGGGTGCTTAGGCTTGTATGCATTCCCGTGGTTCCAAGTTATGCGCACATACATTTCTCAGTGGGGCATCACTCACTCACTGTACGCCGCGTGATTTACACCGTGCACCTCCCCCTCTCCCACAGTTTATTATGCTCATTTTTTTTTTGTTTATGAAGTGTTTATTCGTGGACCACATCCATTACGATAATGTTGTGAACAGTAATATTTCTTTTGGGCTGATAGCCGGTGAGGCTTGTATTCGTGCGAGGGAAATGAATGAAAAAAAATTCCTAGAGCAGTTTGATTCAAAGGGAATAGCAGTTTTCGTGTTATTGTTTTGATTTGCTATTGTGTTAATTGTTTTCTCGGTGACTCTGGTTATGTGCGCTTTGGTGTGAGTGGCGTTGCGGTTGACTGCCATGTGGGCGCTGCATCTCTCTTCTTTCCACAGTGAAGCGCTGACCAGGTCTCTCGCTACTTTGACCGCCATATCCGCGTCTCATTTGCATTTCTTTTCTACACATTATTACTATCTTCCTGTAGTGGCTTCCGTTGCACTCACTCTCTCCTTCCTTTGTAGCTGTGCACATGCGTCGCTGGGGGTTCAAGCTGCTTTCATTTGACGGGCAGATTTGAGTACTGCAGTCCACTTGGTGTATTTGCGTCTTGTCGTTGCGCGTGGTCGCCCGGAAGCACATTTGTTGCTGAAGAGTAGTAGCTTCAGTGTCCCTCATATATGTGCCGTCCCGCCGCGTTGTTTTCGATGGCTGCGATAGCTGCCAGTTGAGCAGCAGGCGATGATTATGACAGTCGTTTTTAGGAAAAAAAAAGAGAATAAAACAAGAGAGGGCAGGGTGCATTCTTTCACTGTGTGCATTTAGAACTGCTGACATGCGTCTGTGGACTATTTATTTTGCGTTTTCCTTTGCGTGGGTGAGATAGCTAGAAAGAGAGAGAGAGAGTTTGTGGGTGTGGGTGGGTGCGTACGGAAGACGGAGATAAGGGTGGCTAAAGGATCGCTATTTCCAGTGTAATGTTTACCTTTATGCTTTGCATTTTACGGTATTGTTTGTATGTGGATACGGGTGCTGTGTGCTCTAAATTTTGCTTCTTTGCAACCTGCAGGCTGCCCTAGTCACATTTCCTCCTATTTGGCAGCTGCCCGTTGCCCCCTTCCCATGCCGTCTATTGTGGTACCTCTGCCACGCATCATGCACAGAGACACAAATGCAATGGCACAGAGGGCAAAAGAAGGGGAGGCGGCAGCGGCAGCGGCCAGAAAGCAGAAGAGAGACGGAGGGCCAGATGAGTCTGTTAACTCAAGGAGTAGACATGTAGGTGTGCGCTTGTCTCTGCGTGCATCCATGCGCTTACTTTGTTGCTGCATGTGCTCGGAAAGCAGGTGCGTAACTAAACTGGAAGCGGAAGAAGACGTCTCTGCTGTAGATATCTTTTATTTTTTTATTTTTTTGCACTTTTTGCACCTGTTTTTTACGTGCAAGAAACTCCCTACTGGGGGCGTGGTAGGAGTAGCACATGAGGAGTTTTTTAGACCGTGTTGGGCTGTGGGGCGGGCACAGTAGAGTTAGGGCCCATGGCAAGAGGCACATCTGCGGCGCTGGTGAGTTGGACGATGAGAGGTCCATAGGGACGTCCAATGCCGCTTCTGAATCCGTCACAGCAGTGACAAAGAAGGCAATGACTGCGACAGCTGTAGAGGGTAATTATGACGCGGTGAATGGTAGTGACACCGCGGCGGTGATGCCATCCTTGGGCACCGAAAAGGACGAGCATTTACTGGCTGTGGCTCGGGCATCCGAATTCTCTGCGTTGAAAGCATTGGAACTTTGCCAACTGGAAGTCCTGCAGCTGCAGCGAATGTGGGATTTGGACCGCGAAACGCAGCGTTGGACTATCGTTTTGTTGCAGGAAGAAGTATGTGAACTGCGACAGCAGTTGGAGCACAAGCGCCGCCGTAGTTCAATGCAGCGTACCCGCGAGACTGTTACTGCAACGAAGGCCCTCTCCGTGTTGTCCGTGAATGGAGGTGGTCTATCGCTACGGTGTGCGTTCGGCATGGACGCTGTCGAGGCGAACACCACCTCAGAAGCCCCTATGACGAGTGGCACGGAGGGTTCCTGCACCCGCAGCGAGGCATCAGCGGAGTGTGCCTCTGCCTTCCAGTACTCACACGTCGTGCATGACTCAACCCGCGTAGAAGAACTTGAAGAGAGGATAGAACGCTACGGACGTCTTCTACATGATGCCAACAGGGAGTGTGGCGAGCTACGAGCAGAACTATCACGAGTGGTACGACAGTTATATGATGATCGCCGCTACTTTACGCGTCACATCTCTTCCTTGTTGCGTGAGAAGGAGGAGATGGCTCGCGAACACGCCAGGACGCTTTCCCACCTGGATGAAACCACAGGCTTGTTAATGGCCGCGCGTGCAGCTGAGCGGGCGGCATTGCAGCGCTTTTTTAGTGAAGGCGGTCAGAGTGAATTGCCTCGAGTGTGTGAGGCACCGATAGAAGGCGCGGGATCGGGGGCAGTGCATTGCTTGCACTGTGGTGGCTCTTCTATCACTTGCAGTGAATTAAAGCGCCGCTCGGTGGATGCTTCGGTGGAGCGGCAACGCTGCAACTCTCTTGCTCTGCGTCAGACAACACTTGAAGACGAGTTGTGTGTTCTAGAATGTGAAGTGGAGCGCGATAGCCGGAACGTGGAGGGAATGTGCCGCATCGTTGGACGCCTCATCGACGAAGTAGAAGGATATGCTCGTGATTGTCGGGTCGCCAACCAGGAAGCTGCTGGATGCCTGCGCGAGATGTCGTTGCTGTGGTTCACTGATGAGGAGGATGCGAGGGGCGATAACACTGACACCGATGATGATGTTGATGGGCACAAGAGTGACGACATCATTTCGCTCTTGCGGCTACAAGAGCGTGAGAAGCGGGACGACGCGAAGAGTCCGGAGTGTGCACTACCTTCGGCGTTCCACGCATCCTCACTGCTGCCGGTGGAGCTGACCGGTTGGGGCGACACCTCTACCACCGCAGCTGCCAGTGCTGCCAATGCTGTCAATGCTGTCAATGCTGCAGCATGCGGTGCCGTTGTGGCACCCAGTTGACGAGAAGGTCATTATCAGGATGGCCCACGTTGGGGCGCAAATGCTAGCGAGGGTGACGCCATCATATGTTGTGTTAGTAGGAGTTTTGCGTGGGTTCTGCATTGCCGCTCATTGCAACGCGCGATGGCACTGCTTTGTTTTGCTTTCCCTTGTACTTTCGGCCACCATGACTCACTGCAATGAAGGCGGAGGCTGCGGTACATATCTCGGCCAAAAGAGCCAACCAAACGGGAATCAAAGCCCCCCCCCCACCCCAACCCAAAAAAAAAAAAATGAATTTTGGCACAATGAAGGGAAGTCAAATAATAAAACAAAAGAAAGGGATAAATAGGGGCGGGAGGGACGTTGAGAATGTCTTTGTCTGCCCGGCATGCATGTGGATTCATTGCTTTCTTGCCGTTCCTCTTCCCGCCTTCTTTCATCAGTGCGCGCGGCCAGATATAAATAACTTCTCTGCGTTCTGAATCCGTTTTTATTTTGTTTTTATTTTCTATCCCTTTACCTACACTGTGCAAAATGCGGAAAGGGAAAAAAGGAAGCACGCAACGTGCAACCTTGGTATTGTTTTTTGCTGCCAACAGCACCAACGAACAGGTTCAAGGGCAGACGCGGCTCATTGCAAGCCGTGGTGAATGGTACTGATTTTGATGGTGACAATATGGTTTGGGGTGCGTCACTCTTACTCCTCCTCTCTGTATACTCCTCTCTCTCTCTCTCTATATATATATATATATATATATATATATATATA